GATATGCACCAACCCCTCCCTGCCCCCCCCAAGATATGCACCAACCCCTCCCTGCACCCCGGAGACATGCACGAACCCCCCCGTGAAATGCACCAATCCTGCACCCCAGCGAAATACACCAACCCCCTGAGACATGCTCCAACCCCCAGAGAAATGCACCATCCCGGGGGGAAAGCACCAACCCTGCACCCCCAAGATAAGCACCAAGTTCTGGGAAATGCTTCAAGCTCCAGAAAAATGCATCAACCACCAGAGAAATGCACCCACCCTCAGGTAAATGCATGAACTCCTGGAGAAATGCACCAACCCCCAAGAAATACACCAACCCCTCCCTGCCCCCCCCGAGAAATGCACAAAACCCCTGGGGAAATGCACCAACCCTGCACCACCGAGAAATGCACCAAACCCCTGGGGAAATGCACCAACCCCCGAGAAACGTACCAACCCTGCACCCCAGGGAAAGGCACCAACCCCAGAGAAATGCACCAAAACCAGGGAAATGCACCAAATCCTGCATCCTAGAGAAATGCACCAACCCCAGAGAAATGCACCGTCTTCAGCCATGCAGAGAAATGCATTTGCCTGCCTCATACAAACACGCTCACTTCTCCACATTGCATGAATTGCTGCAAACCACCACGAGAAACGCAGCAGTGCATGCAACCTGGGGACACGCCCCCGCCCACAGAAATGCAAGAAGCCATGCGGCCCAGAACAAGCCTGCTGGGCATCAAACTGCCCCACCCCGGAAAGATGCGACCCAGACACGCAACGCATATCGGCAAGACGGAGAAGCGCATTCGCCCATGCGCTGTCGCATTCACAGGGGCAGGAGAGCCCCGGGGAGAAAATGCAACAATCCATGCAACGCACCAACATGCAACTCGGCCAGCTGGGAAGTCCATGCGCCACCGGAGGACCTTGCACCCAACCGCACATGCATCATGCAGCCCCGTTGCGCCACCCTGAGATCTGCAACGGGCCAAAACACAGCCCCCCTGCCCCCACCGGGGTGGATGCAAAGGCAGCGTCTGGCCTGGGAGCTGCGTCCACGCGTCGGCCATCTATAAATGCAGGAGCAAACCTGCGTCCATCCGTGACAGTTGCTGCAGCATTACCAAGCCAGGCCGGGCATGCGAGGCAGGGACAGGCCACCGCGGTGCTGGGGGGGCTGAGACAACTCCAGGCCAGCCACACACCAGGCTTGGACGCCGGATCGATCCGGGGGTTGGGGGGAAGGGAAGCCCATTCATTCAGAAGCAACCCCCCCACCCCCCGGCTTTCAGCCAACTCTCCCCGTTCGGAAACTCAGGGCATGCTGCCTGGGGGAGGGGCAGCAAAGATTGGGGGATCCCTCAAGGGCAGACGCAGAAGGAAGTAGGTCAATTGCCCCATGTCCCACTTCCTGCCCCCGGAAATGCTGCCAAGCGGGGGCGCCGGCTTGTCTCCCCGGGATCAGGCCCCAGGCGGGTCGAGTCGCTGGGTCAATCCAGCTGGAACTGGCCCCCTCTCCGCCCTAACGTGGGGAGCAGGGAGGGTCACCTACAGTGAGTCCCGGGCCCCCCTACCCCAGGGAATTGTTCCCTGGCCAATCCCCCTGCCTGGGCAAAACGGACGCCTTATTGCCCGGCTGAACCCGTCCGGCATCCAGGCAGGTTTTCCGGCCCCTCTGCAATTTACCACCGTCCTCCTTGCGATGTGGACACTAGAGCCCGGGGCTGAGGCACAAAGGACACGGACACGGACGTCACAGACTCACTCGCATCGGTTTATTCACAGTCAGGAACCCCCTTTCCCCCAGCACAATCAGGAGCTGCGGCACAGGGCACGAACGTTCCCAGGCGCGGGCGGGGGGGAGAGGGAGTCACCCACCAACCACTCCCCTCCCCTCCGAGGGCTGGGAAGAGAACCCAGGAGTCCTGGCTCCAGCCCCCCCTGCTCTAACCACTAGACCCCACCCCCCTCCCAGAGCTGGGGAGAGAACCCAGGAATCCAGGCGCCCAGCCCCACCCTCTGACTCCCTCTCTGGGAATTTCACCCCCGTCTTTCCCTGGCAGACCCAGCGGCCAAACCAGAAAAACTGACTCCAGGGGGTGACTCACTCCTGGGGGACGGGCGTGTCCCTGATTCCCAAGCTCATTTCCCGCCCCCCGCACCCGATCTGGGAGGGGAGCCCAGCCCCCGGCCTCTGTTCCCCCTGCCTTGGAAAGAACAGGGCAAGGGAGATATGGGGGGTTCTTAGGGACCAGAAAAGATGCGGTGGCTCGGGAGGGGCACAGGCGAACTTGGGGGGAGGGGGGCAGGGCTGGGCTAGGAGGGGGCTGCGGGTCAGGAGTGAGGGGCACTAATGCCCAACACACCCTGAAGCCCAGTGTCACCAAAGTGTCTCCCCCCCGCTCCCCCCAGTCAAGCAACAAAGTCGCCACCGGGTGGCCACTCTCTGAACTGCATCATAAACATACTGGGACGCGGCCCCTCTGGAGTGGGGCGCTGGGGCTGGGTATACGGGGACCCCTCCCCCGGCGCTGGGATGCGGCTCCTCTGGGGTGGGGCACTGGGGCTGGGTATACGGGGACCCCTCGCTTGGCGCTGGGACGCAGCCCTCTGGGGTGGAGCGCACAGGCAGACGCACAGGAATTTGGGACAGAAAGTGAAGGAGAATCCTATAAGGTGGGTGGTTTGGGGGAGTGAATTTCTCCAGGAGCCCCCTCACCTTTCCCCCTTCCCTGCCCATAAGGCAGAATCCCCCTCACACACACCCCTCCGACTCTCAGCGCTTGGGGGTCGTTCCCCAGAGTCTGGCCGGCGGGCGGATTCACACCGGCTCACGCACAGGGGTCAGATTTAAATAAGGGAATAAATACGGTTCACGGTGGGGCCGGCACAGGCCGGATAAATAGACCCAGCTACACACGAAAAACTGGGGGGGGGGGGGAAGAATCTTTGGGGGGCCGGGCCTGGGGGCCCCCGGCCTCCCCAGCACGGGACGAGATGGGCGCTATCCCCGCGACTCCAGAGACCTGGGGAGAGAACAGAGGGGACTTTTGTCAGAGCAGGGACCAGGGAAGCAAAGCCGATTTGGGGAGCACGGAGTGATTTTGGGGGTGCTGCTCATGACACCAGGGGGTTGGGGGGCCTTACGAGTAGCTGTGGTGTAGCTGGCACTAGCGGGGGGCGTGGGAAACTCTGGGGGACACAGGGGTTCTGGGGAGCTCTGGGAGGGCCCTTATGAGCAGCTGGGGGCTGCTGGCGCCAGTGGGGGGTTCTGGGGGGCATGGGGAGTACTGGGGGGCTCTGGGAGGGCCCTAACTTGTAGCTGTGGTGCTGGCAGAAGTTTCTGGGAGGTGCGGGGGGCTCTGGGGGGGAACTCTGGGGGGGCACAGGGAGGCTTTCCGGGACACTGTAGATTTGTCCCACCTCCGGTCAGACAGTCCCTGCGCTGTTGAGGAGGATGAAAGACCCAGGGAAGGAGAGCAGTCAACAGGAACAGAGGGGACCCTTCCCATAGTTGAGACCCTCCTTCCAGATGCTGTTGGGGTCTCCTCTCGCACTGAGGTTCCCTCTCCAGGGGAGGGAACTCCAGGCACTGGGAAAAGGCAGGTGTTAGTAATGGGGGATTCGATCATTAGAAACATAGAGAGCTGGGTTTGTGAACCGGATGGTGACTTGCCTGCCTGGTGCGAAGGTTTTCATAGATTCAAGGACTGGAAGGGACCTCGAGAGGTCATCGAATCCAGTCCCCTCCCGCATGGCAGGACCAAATACTGTCTAGACCATCTCTGATAGACATTTATCTAACCTACTCTTAAATATCTCCAGAGATGGAGACTCCACCACCTCCCTAGGCAATTTATTCCAGTGTTTAATCACCCTGACAGTTAGGAACTTTTTCCTAATGTCCAACCTAGACCTCCCTTGCTGCAGTTTAAACCCATTGTTTCTGGTTCTATCCCTAGAGGCTAAGGTGAACAAGTTTTCTCCCTCCTCCTTATGACACCCTTTTAGATACCTGAAAACTGCTATCATGTCCCCTCTCAGTCTTCTCTTTTCCAAACTAAACAAACCCAATTCTTTCAGCCTTCCTTCATAGGTCATGTCCTCAAGATCTTTAATCATTCTCATTGCTCTTCTCTGGACCCTTTCCAATTTCTCCACATCTTTCTTGAAATGCGGTGCCCAGAACTGGACACAATACTCCAGCTGAGGCCTAACCAGAGCAGAGTAGAGCGGAAGAATGACTTCTCGTGTCTTGGTCACAACACACCTGCTAATACGTCCCAGAATCATGTTTGCTTTTTTTTGCAACGGCATCACACTGTTAACTCATATTTAGCTAAGGCTATAGTTAGATAGAAAGAAGAATTCTTCT